CCCCTCATATATATGGACTTTGGATGCCGTCGATGCCACTTGCACGGGTTATTTTTTAAATTAAAAACTCAAAAATTCCTTTTCCATCGGCATCGACGGCATCCAAAGTCCAATGGACACTATTCGATCTGCCTCGCTGATGCCGGAATAATTAATAAGTCAATCTGACACCGATTCAGGACAAGTTACGTAGTTGCGTTGTACGTCTAATTGGAAGGCCTAGAGATTTAACCCTGTATTTTGGGATTAGAAACCAATATCACGGCAATCCCACGAGCAAATTTCTACAACTGAAATTAATTTCGTTATAAGTAAAGAGGAGTATTCAGATTTCCTTGAATCCCATTAGGAGGTAAAAAGCCAAAACACACATAAGACTAAGAGTACATGGGAAGGATCATCTCTAATCGTATACAGTACAAGGGTAGGTCAGAAAGTAATAGAAGTTGCCATCTCGCGGTAAAGATATTGATTCAGTAATAAAGTTAAAAATGAGTGCTACACGTTCTTAATCTATAACATGTCCTACTTTCTAAACAACCATTGGAGTTTCACATGATGTCACACTTGATTATTTCATGATGCCACAAACAAAGGATGACATGTACTCCGCGGGAAACAAGGCGGAATTTACCAAATCTACTAAAGAAAAATTCTTTTTCAAAATAAGATTTTTATGCGCTGTAAACTGTAAACTTGGCGAATCTCCAAAACCCATTCATGAAAATTTTGCAAAGTGTTTGTGATGACAAAAATCAGCTTGTTCATATATATATATATATATATATATATATATATCTCAAAACTATATATATATACGAAAAAAAATATAAACACAGTTTATTTATCTTTGGGTAAGAGAATTTAATCGAGGAGAGACATTGTTTTTGATGATCTACGCTCTGGTCGCCCAAACTCTTCTGTGAACGAGAAACCCATAGATGTAATCCGGCACCATAAAGCAGAGCAAGACCCCGATACTACTGAACGAGAGCTTTGTGACATGTCTGGACTTTGGTTTGGAAAATAATATTCGGGGGAAAATTACGTGTTTGGCCGTTAGATGCCCCATTTACTGAGGAACAAAAAAAAAAAAAGAAAAGAGAGAGAAAGATCTGAGAGTGTACAACAGACTTGCTCAATATGTTTGAACCCCATGAGCCCAAGCCACTTACAGACATTGCCAGGGAGCTCTCGTGGTCTGAAGAATATGGTGTTCGTCTTTCATTTAATAGGTCGTGGGTTCGAATCCCGACAGCGATGGACAATTTTCTTCTCTTAAAAATTTCTCCTGTCCCCTCTATTACTGCTCTCTAATCATGTTCTGTCGTCTGCTTTTGTCTCCACCTCGCTGCACCCTCGACTCCTTCTACTGCTATTCCTTGTCAGCCACACCCCTGATCTTAGAGTAGGTAAGATCTAACACCAAGCCTTTTCGGATAATGGCGAAAAATCTGAAAGGTCCCGTGTGCCACCCTGGCAAAATGTAAAAAAAAAATTCCTACCAAAACGACAATGATTGATATGACCTTCAGCAGCTGGGAGCGCCGTAAAACAC